ACACAAAAGCTTTCAAATTAAAACTTACGTTCCTCTGATGTTTCCTATTCGGAAACAAGATTTCATCAGAACGGAATTGTTGGGAAATATGTAGGAAATCTGGAACAATAAATAACTCCAAGGCACGAAAATCGTGATCTTTTAAGAGATGTTTCTCCCCTTTCCAACAAAGTCACAACCGGGGTATGATAGAAAATATCTCTCAAGATACAATGGAGGCGTTTGATTCAAATTGTGACTATTTGATCAAACCAAGAAACACTCTATAGAGAAACTGATGATGCCAAGAGAAAGATAGAAGAATAGAAAGTTTTTTTAAAAGTGTCTTGCAAATGAGAATTCGCCCAGAATATATAGAAATGGAGGCAACCTTTTGAATAGGTGTGTCCCTTGAAACGAATGGACGCATCTGATTGAAAGAAACATACCTATTCAAAAACTTCTGAAAATAAAATTCTCTTTCAGGGGCGTTGCCCCCGAGCCCCCACGGGGGGCGCTGCCCCCTCGAGCCCCGCGACCTGACCGGGCAGGTCGATCCCCGTTGCGTAGCGGCAAAACATTCGCAAAAACAAAAGATAATACATGCAAAATGATGAAAAATATCTAACAGGAATTTCCTTAAGAGTCTCAGTAGGCTCTGGACCTGCTACTATAGTTTCTTGATTGATTGTGGGGACCTAAAATAATTAGAATTTTTTTAGAACGTGATCATATTGTAGCATATAAAAGATAATGGCAAACATGGTGTTAAATTAAAGGAACTTTGCAAACTGCTTAATTTCTATTCTGAACATCGTTATTGTAGCTCTCACAGTTTCTTCTTGTCAGCTTATTTCGAGTGTAGTCATGACTCATGCGGGATTCACAAAACCATGTCGGGCACATGTTACTTGTTGGAGTTCGCTATGAAACGTTGATTTATACGTGTGGCAAAAAGATCAGCATTAAATTTGAGCAATTCATACAAATGAAATTAGTCGACCTAGATTATAAGAAACAATGAATTTATTCACAGGCAAGTCAATATAATGCTACTACTTACTGTGTGTGTATAGTTAAAGAACAGATTCCCTCATCACTGGAAATCCAGTTCCCTTCGATCTTAATATTTAAGCAGTCCAAACTCCACTTTCTCACAACTATGATCAGTGGATATTGAAACATTAAAAACACTTTCATAGGATATTAAAACTTTACACCGTGTTATTAATCTTAAACAGCTGCCTAGTTTGGCACTGTTGATCTAAATTTCCAGTATCATCGATCAATTTCAGTTGGAAAAAACCCAAGGTCAGGAATTGGTTCAGATTTTATTCTCAGCCCTCTGGTAGTGGCTAAGGTTTATTCAATTGTAACAATGTAGAACATCTAATGCTTTGTCAATTTGTGGCTGCCTGACATTCTAGATTCTAGAATCATCTAGAGGAGAAGACATTAAGAGTGACCAAGCCCCCACTTTTAAGCTGTTTCTTTCCGGCTTTCTTGAGGGAAAGAAGCGCATACTTAAAGCCCAAATAAGCCAGAAAAAGTACCTTTTAAGCTGGGCCAAACATGCTATAAACTGCATGAACTTGAAAAGAACGAAAGAAAAAGCTTTTGGAGGGATGAGGTGATAGAAGAAAAGCTTTTTACCTTACAACGATCATACAGTTTGACATCACTGAAAGCTAAATTGCTTATCCTGATCTCGGTGCATAAATCTTCAGAAAATGGTTCACATCCATCAACAAGGATACTGCAGGGAAGGGTACATTTTTGCAGTTGTGACTCACCTCAAGCAGTGTGCAATTAATTAACCCGAAGAAAAAAAAAACGAAATTCGATTCCGTGCATCCAGCAACATTTTGATTGATAGGCTATATATTACACGGACTCCTTAAAATATATTGATGCTTCCAATCCCAATCTTACCATTGGCAGAAGTGTGTGGGATACACGTTCAGAGTTTTCAATTAATTATTTCCTTAAAACAATAATCCAAGTATTTTGACTATTGTTAAGTTAGTTTCCCATATTAAAACCCAATCTCATTAAGATTCATTCAATGTATAGAATATAGAAAAAAGGTTATAAATATAACTCAAAACACTTGACACATGACAACGCCAGACCCCCACGGTAAAGTCCATGTAACGCAGCCTACAGGAAATGACATTCAAGTTAATCAATAAAAGTCTCAGCACGATTTTTTTATTTTTTTTTGGTCGGGGGGTGGGGGGGAGGGTGATAAGATAAAACTACAAAACCTAAAAGTCGCAGGGAAGCTTTTTCTTTGTGCTTGTTTGGGAGGGATTTTTGGGGGGAGAATTGATTTTGAATAGTGATATGATGGAAAATGTGTGGTTGAAAAAGAAAAAAAATTTATTAATGTGATGAAAAATATTATTTTATTGAAGAATGTGTGGTTGAAAATGAGAATTGATTTAGTGTAGAATTTTGAGAATCTCTCTCAAACAAAACCTTTTATTGATAATGCATAGTAGTTAAGATGTTGTGGTAGCAAATAATGAGATGAAGGCAGGTGGATACTTGGGTCTGAAACGGTTAATTGGTATAGGCCAAGGGGGCGGACCCATTAAGGGCCCAGTGGGGACAGTTGCCCCCACTGGGCCATTGAATTTTTGCTTTAAAAAAAAGGGATAATTACATAAAACCAGTTGTTTACTTTTAAATTTATGAAAACAGGTTTTAACTTTATTTAATCAAAAATCAGGTTTTAAAATTTTTAATTAATAATGGTATTATAAAATTAAAATACCCATCCTACTACCTACCCCACCAACTTTATTTTAAATATAAAATCCTAAATCTATCCAAACCTAATCCATTTTATCTCTGTTGGTCTCAACATTTCTCCCATCCGGCACCTCCACCGCCACCTCCCCCCTTCTTCCCTCCCCCCTCCCTCTGCTGCTTCGCTGCTGCGACGTAAAGAGACGCTGCTGCACGTCGCAACAGCTTCTCGCCTTCTGCGAATCGTAGCAGCAGCGAATCTGCAGCGGAGACGTTGCTGTGAATCGCGCTGCTGCGACCCGACAGGAGCGACGCTGTTGTGGGTGTGGCTGGCGGTGGAGGTGTTGTGGGTCTTCGATGCTGTGGTGTGTGCAGTGGAGGTCTTCGATGCGGTTGTGTGGTGTTGTGGTAGGGTCAACAGCGGCGGTGGTGTTTTCTTGGTGTGGTAGTGCAGGCGGCGTTGGGATGATTGTTTTTTGTTATTATTATGGTGGTGGTTGGGGTGGTGTTGTGACGGTCTAACGATGGTGGTGCTGTTCAGGCGGAGACGGTGGTGGTTGTTGGTGGTGTTATTATTGGTGGGTGTTTTAGGGATTAGGGTCGGCGGCGGATGGGACGAAGTGTCAATGACCATCTATTTGGTCAGTCTGTGACTTGTGACCCAGTATTGTTGGTGTATTAAGGTTGGGGGATGGGTGCGGCAGATGGGACGAAGTGTTTGTGACCATCTATTTGGTCAATCTGTAACCTGTGACCAAGTATTGGTGGTGCACTGGATGGGGGACGGGTGTTTGAGTGTATGTGACCATCTATATGGTAACTGTGACCTTAAAATTCGTTACTCTGTGACTGAAAATATAACCCTGTGACCTCGAATTAATTGCATATTAAAATTTTGATTGAAAATTAATAAGATGTTTGTGACAAAATTGCATATAACTGTGACCTTAACAATTGTCGGAATCGGAGTAGTCGCCGAAATTAAGCGCGGCCGGAGATCAATCGCCAGAGTAATCGACGGTCGCCGAAGTAGCGCCGGAGCAATGGGGGTGGCGGTGGGGTGGGTTAATCACATTATATTACTGTCAAATATTTAATTTAATAGCTTAATTGTAAAATATAATTAATTAATTCATGGAAAAACTTGAGTTTTGTAAATTTAAACCTTGAGGCCTGAATTTTGATTTCGTGAAAGATAATCTCTGACCTATGAATTTTTCCCAAAAAAATAAAAAAAATAAAATATAGATCAACCCACCCACAACCCAACTACCGAAGCCCACATGAAATGTATGTGCTTAAACGAAGCCCTTTCTCTCCCCTCTCCCGAAACCGAATTCCCCAGCTCTAGTTTGAAATAATCAACTTCTTGTTGCAAATGCTGGAGACTCTCGCTGTGTTCTCTCTCGGAGGGGTCAGGTGATGTTTTTCTTTTACTTTCCAAAGGGTAATTTTTAAGTTTTGTTATTTGGAAAAACTCTTGGTTATTTCTTCCAATCACAACAGTAATTAAAAGAACGGTTTTGATGTACAAAAAATGGGATATTGAATTCTCTGTAGGAGGTAAGCATCTGAGACCTTGGTTTAGAATTGTAGAAAAAGGTAAGGTTTAACAGGAGAAGTTAGACTGGAGACAGCAGAAATAGAATGAGTCTACAAAGTAGTAATTGTTTAACTAATAATTATTAGAAAGCACATGAATAATATCAATTTAAATTCTTGGAGAGTTTTATTTGAGAATAGAAACTATGCATTATTTTCAGTTTAACTGTATATTTCATCATTTTGTTTCTCCACCATTTCATAACCGAAATATGTAATCCAGAAGAAATAAAGTGTATCAGTTAGTTGTAACCAAAAGAAATAAAGTGTATCTGTTAGTTTACATGCTTGTGACTTTAGTTCTTCCGGTTGCTACTACTACAGTTGAAAGAGTATTTTCTGCTATGAATATTGTAAAGAATCGACTGCGTAATCAAATTTGAGACCAATGGATGAATGATAGTTTAGTTGTGTATATTGAAAAATATGTATTTAATGAAAATACTAACGAGACTATTATACGGCGTTTACAAAGTACGAGAAGCCGCAAGGAACAATTGTAAAAAAAGTATTATATCTTGAATATTATCTTTATCATTTAAAATGGTCCGCCCCTGTATAGGCTCCTTCAGAAGAGCATTTAACGCATTCAATGATCCCTGCATGTAACATTTGTGAAATAAATACTTCAATATTAAATCCATGTCATGAATAATTCATCTAACTCAGCTATCAAATTGACTAACCTGAGATAGCATGAGGAACGGATACTCATCAGGAAACATAATTTTGTATCCACGGGCATAATCAGGGTCCACAGCCCTAATTTCTGATGCTGAGTGAAAGAATAAAGCCTCAACCTTGTGAGTACATCTTTGTATGGCATAATAACTCTATATGACTGTATCCTACTGTAGTAATATAGCAGCCAATAGTTCCTTGCATCGACAGATGAACACTTTTCCAGAAAATAAAACATAACAAACTGAGCTACATGGAATTGAATTTATAACATGGAACAAAAGTTCATAAATCATATAATGAGATAAACAATTTGGGATTGTCAGATAGAGATATATACACAATTGATTGTATATTCTCTACCTTCATTAAAACGCACAAGCCTGCTGGGCTTCCCAAGATATTTGGAAAGCCAGTTTGAAGCATCAGCTCCTTCATCCAATGCAGAGCCACACCACTCCCACACTGAGACACCATCTGCTGTTTCAGATGGTATAACTAACGGAATCTTCAGCGTACCCATGCCAGGAGCCCTTATCACTGTAGCAAAACGGAAATCACTGTAATTTATAAAGCTATGCTTGAACAGCTGTCTTAGTATACTGATGGCCCTAAACTTAATAATTCACACACTGGCACACGAATCCAGTATTCAGACTCAAGTCTAGAGGTATGAAACAGAACACAAGAAGAGAAAAGAGAAGAAAAGGGAGGAAAGTTGAGCATTGAACATACAGAGAGTTCAATTTTTATACCTAAATAAATATGAAGTCCTATTTGGTTCCCAACTCTCTGAAAACGCCTTGTTTGCAGTCAGGGGCGGATCCAGGATTGGATCTAAGACTGGGCTACAAAATTTCAAACTGGGCTAATACGCGAAAAAAAAAATTTTTACACATGAAAATCTGTTTTTTTTTTTTTTTTAAATGAAAATACCTTATCAAAAAAAANTTTTTTTTTTTTAAAATGAAAATACCTTAAAAAAAAAAAAATTTGGGCCATGTGGGGGGGGCTACAGCCCAGCCCAGCCCCCCCCTGGATCCGCCAAAATTGCAGTTCAACTTCAACTAGAGCAAGCTTTGGCTCTACTCTTGAGTATATGCCCTGCCTTTAGAATTCACTACTGACCACTGCCGATCCCAACAAAATCCATTCAAGGAAAAATTACTTTATCAACTGTTTATTTCTCATACAAGTGCTTAACCTCAATTAAAGCCTGTAACATCATACCTGCTAAAATTGTTCCTCAATGAAGGGATACTAAAGTAGAGATTCAGGAAAACCCAACACAGTGTATAATGAGATTGAGTGGATTTTGTTTTACAGTGAAAGTACATTTTACTTCTCTTAGACCTGCTGATTAAATTAAAGGAAAGAAATGAAAGGATTCCATACCAGTTGAAGAGATAGGTGCTTGAGAAACAGCAATTCCACGGCATGATTTGATCGGGCATACGAATATTGACGTAACCTTCGCAGCGGCGGCTCCTCGCTTGACCTTTGCCATCTGTGACATGACCCTCCCAAGTCACCCTAATAGACTTGACACGTGTCGTGCGCCGATGGTAGATACCAGCTAAGTGCCGGACCCAACATCAAGACAACTTTGACTTGTTTTAACCATGACATACTTTTATAAAAATTTTGACAATTTCCCTGTAATATGGACTAAAATCACCTGAACAATAATCAATATCCTCAAACCACTACATATAATTTAAAACAGGGTACAATAGTCCCTCAAAACTCATACTATTCAAAATACAATACTGGGAAGTTGATCTTTACAAATATTTTACAAACAAAAGTTCCAAATGTACTCAAAATACTCAATATGCAGTGAGCTCATGATATTGATACATGAATTACAATTTAACTTTTCTTACAAAACATATATGTATCCTAAAAGAAATATGAACTATGTAAATTGCCAAAATGAGTCATACGATTAAAAACAAAGTGTGGCTCAACTCGGTAGATCAACATGCTCCGATGCTGCTCAACTCAACTACAATCTGATAAAGAAAGAGATGAAAAAATATATAAGCTTGTAACTCAATGAGTTGATAGTTTACAAATAGGAATATTTTGCTTCCATTTATGCATATTTTCTGAAAATTCTTATCCTTTTGAAACTTTGAGTAATTCCTAAATCTGATAATGCTCCTAAAAATTTAAACATGATTGCATCATAAAATCATTTGTTCTTCATTCTAAACAAGTAGCTATAAAGTATAACGAATATAATTACTCTGATGTTTACAAAAATCTCTGAAATATTTTGTTGTTCAATACTATAAGCTAAAAGTTTTATACTAAGAAATGAATAATTTGAATTCTACAATTGAAAATCCAATAAGCTGTAGAAATACTGAAATATCACACCAAAAAGGTACCCTGAATAGCCTTACTCATGTATTAATTAGTACCGATATACATAGCAAAGCTATTTAATTCTGAAATTCTAGTCATACACGCGCAGAGCTATAATTTGGTCATACACTATGGAAACACATTCACAATAGTGCAGAGCGAGTAAAATCACCATAACTGATTACACATTATGGAAACACATTCACACCAGTGTGGATCGGGTAAAATAACCATATGAAGTCATACATTATGGAAACACATTCACATCAGTGCAGACTGGTGTAAAATCACCTAAGTACTTTCTGGTGGTTTTTTAAAATGACTTTAGATATGCTGAAACATAGAAAATGAATATAATATGCTAGAAAAATGATTTAAATGAACTGAATTTAACTTTAAAAGAATTGACTATAAAATCCGTTTGATTATGGAAATCATGCCGTCAAATCAAGTATATGGAATAATCAACTTTTTGATATGATATAAATTTAATAAATATTTATTTTTGAAGAATAAGCTTTTCTACTCACTCAAAGCAAGTTACTATCTATGGCGATTGGTAAGCTTTTCCAATTTCTCCGTCACCACCTGAAATACCATACAAGATAACCAATTTAACCACTAACAAAACAAGAAACCTCTAATATCTAATCCTATAATACTTAAACTAAATTTCTCGATACTTGAATAAATCTCGAAATTATTCTTTTAATCCATTGGAACTAATTACAATTTCTAATTCATTTACTAATAACTAATTCATCAACATAACCTTCATTTCAAGCATAAATGCAACTACTCACTTCAATCTAGTGACGACTAGTAACTATAATTCAACCAATTCAATTTTCATCTTGTTCATAAATTCATACTTCCAAGTAAGTATTTCATCATTACAATCATTCCACCAAATATACTTCATTCAAGAATCCAAATAAAAATTCTAGAGTTTGCCCAAAAATAAAATTCCTTACCTTGATTTAAATGGAAGTTAATCATTCAAGAAGTTTGAACTAGAAATCATAATCCTTTCCCTAAACTTGAAATTTTGAACCAAGTTAAAACCCTAAAAATTTAACATAATATTTCTCCACCTCTTGAAGAAAATAAAAAGAATGAAAAATGAAATTCAAGCTTAAAGTACCCTTTACTCTTCTTCGTCTCCTTCTCTTTTTTCCTTCCTTTTTTCTGTCTTCAGCTTCGGTTTGCCCTCCAGCTGCGTGTGCGTAAAAAATGAGAAATGGGGTTCCAATTGTTATATTAGTGGGGCACTAACCTTTAATTGCAAAGGTAGCCCTCCAACCTTCATATAAGACCATATTAAATCATTACATTTTAATACATGAAAAGTGAACTCTCAACTAAAAATTGTATCCATTTTAAACCCTCAAAATTTTCAAATGTAAAATAAACCCCAAGAAAATAATTTAATTCATTTAAGTCTTATTTGACTATGACTTTTACTTTGACACTTCACTTTTGACTTTTAACTAAACAAAATGGGCTGTAACAATCTTACCTTCTTAAAAGAATTATGTCCTCAAATTCGATGGACTTCTAGCTAATCAATGAATAGATGAGGATATTGAGCACGCAACTGGTCCTCATTTTCCCAAGTAGCCCATTCTACCGTCTGATTCCTCTGAAGTACCTTGACAAGTGAAATTGTTTGGTTTCGCTAGATTTGCACATTTCTGTCTAGAATCCTCACTGGATCTTCTATATAGGTCAAATTTTCCTTCAACTTAATTGGTTGAGAATCTAGAACTTGAGAAGGATCGGCGATGTACTTGTGGAGCATGAAAACGTGAAAGGATCCTGGATAATTCAGTTGGCAAATCTAATCGATACGCAACTGACCAATCCGCTCAATAAGCTCATAGGGTCCAATGTATCATGGACTCAACTTTCATCGTTTTCCAAATCTCAACACCCCTTTCCAAGGCGACAATTTCAAAAATACTTTATCACCAATTGCAAATTCAAGATCTTTCACGCGCCTTTCTGCATAACTTTCTGTCTGCCTTGTGCTATTTTCAAATTTTCTCTAATCAATTTTACATTTTTTGAAACCATTAGTACCAATTCAGGGCCTACTAACTTTCTTTCAACAACTTCATCCCAACATACTGGTATTTTGCATTTTCTACCATATAAAGCTTCAAAATGAGCCATTTTATACTGGAGTGGTAACTGTTATTGTAAACTACTATCTTTCTTTCACCAACTTCATCCCAACATACTGGCGTTCTGCATTTTCTACCATACAAAGCTTCAAAAGGAGCCATTGCTTTACTGGAGTGGTAACTGTTATTGTAAGCAAACTCCATCAAAGACAAAGGAGTATGCCAACTACTTTTGAAATTTAAAACACAAGCTCTCAACATATCCTCAAGAGTTTGTATAGTCCTCTCTAACTGGCCATCTATCTGAGGGTAAAAAGCTATACTGAAATGTAGTTCAGTACCCAAGGCTTCCTGCAAATTAGGCCAAAATTTAGATATAAATCGAGGATGGATATGATACAATAGAAAATGGAGTACCATATAAGCTCACTATCTCGTCTATATACAACTTGGCCAACTTATTTAAAGAATAAGTAGCTTTGATTGGTAGAAACTTGGCAATCTTAGTCAAACGATCTACAATAACCCAAACACCATCATGACCATTTTGAGTACGAGGAAGACCAAACAAAACGTCCATGGTCATGCGTTCCCACTTCCATTCTGGAATAGGCAAAGGCTGTAAAAATCCAGCTGTTTTCTGACGATCCGGTTTCACCTGTTGACACACCANTTGGCTTTACTTACTGACGGATAAGACATTTGGATACAAACTCGGCTATCTCTCTTTTCATACCCGGGCCCAATAATGATCTCTCAATGTGTGATACATCTTAATACTACATGGATGCATAGCATAAGCAGAAATATGTGCCTCTTCTAAAATCTCCTTCTTCAATTCTGGAATGTCTGGAACACATAATCTATTACCCCTAGCCAATGCACCATCATCTCCTATCACATAATATGTTCTTCACCCAGCACTCACTTCTACTTTCGATATTCTCAACATCAAGTCTTAAGATTGAGATTTTATAACCTTATCAATCAAAGTAGGCCTTACCTGAAAGTGAGCTAATACCACCCCAAAAGTAGTAGATGATAGTTGAGCACGCAACCTTTTTAACTCACAAATCAAATAAGCACATGCTGGACTGGCCGAAGAGTAAGAATTAGTCTTTCTATTGAGAGCGTCTGCAACTACATTAGCTTTCCCCGGATGGTAGTCAATTTTACAATCATAATCATTTATCAACTCCAATCATCTTCTTTGCATCAAATTCAATTCATTCTAATCAAAGATATAGTTCAAACTTTTATGATCATTAAATATTTGACATTTCTCACCATAGAGATATTGTCTCCAAATCTTCGGTGCTAACACCACTGCAGCTAACTTCAAACCATGTTTTGGGTAGTTTAACTCATGCTTCTTCAATTGTCTTGAAGTATAAGATATAACATTTCCATTTTACATTAAAACACGGCCTAGTCCTTGAAGTGAAGCATCACTATAAATTACAAACTCTTCACCCAGAGATGGAAGAGAAAGTCTAGGAACAGAAACTAATCTTTTCTTCAACTCTTGAGAACTCCATTCACATTCCTCAGTCCCCACAAATTTGGAGTTTTTACTAGTCAAACTAGTCAGTGGAAAAGAAATTTTATAAAAATCCTCTACAAACTGACGATAATAACCTACCAGCCCAAGGAAACTCCGTACTTCTGTAACATAAGTAGGGAGTTCCCATTTCATCACAGCCTCAGTTTTTAACGGATCTACATAATTGCCTTCTACTGAAATAACATGACCTAGAAACACAATTTTATCCGACTAAAATTCACAATTACTGAACTTCGTATTCAACTGCTTATCTCGTAAAATAATGCTCAAGTGCTCGGAGTGCTCGTCATGACTGCGAGAATAAACCAATATATCGTAAATAAAAACAATCATAAATTTGTCCAAATATGGGTGAAGTACCCTATTTATCAGATCCGTAAATGCTGCTGGGGCATTAGTCAACCCAAATGGAATCACCAGAAACTCATAATGGCCATATCGCGA